TAAAAATTTGGCGGGAAATGATTCTCTCTAGATTTTTCATACATCTAACATTGGCTCTTTTATTCTTTCAAAAACGATGAAAAAATAACAAGGATTTTATAAGATTTTCAAAGATGACATTTTAAACCGTATGTAATCAAATTATGGAAAGAAAAGTAGGGGTTAGTGGGAAAAATTATTAATGACACTACATGGATAAAACCAGAGGATTCCGAATATCTGACAAAAATTCAAAAACAAGAGGAGCAAACATCCTTAAAGCAAAGCTAAGTCTTGACAACGTTATGTTCTCCTTATTCCTTAAAGATACTAGAATCCTTGACAGAAATTTGCGTGCGATAGAGTCACTACAAGAGTGGCAGCAATCAAAGTGGGGTGGGGGCTTCTTTATAGCGCTACATATGTTGTTAATGTATAGACTTTGTACAAGTCTCACTCATAACGTTGCCTTTTTGGTGGGCCCCCCTTTTTCAAAATTCTGGATCTGCACCTGATATGTAACTTACCTTAAGAATGATAATTTTTTTATGATTTTGTTTAGTTGATATTCAGTTTCTTTATGTTTTGCAAATTATTCTCTATTCTGTAAACCAAATCGATACCCTCTTTCGAGTTTCTTGCATACTTTAAAATTTTCTCTATGAAAATTCGACAATGCCTTTACCTCGTAAAAACCCTGGATGTTTATTTTAGGAAAATGGACATTTCCTTGGACATAATAAGGTACGGTTGTTGAATGCTGGACATATAGTTCAACAGATATCATCAAGAAATCAAAATATTGCACACATTTTAGTCTATGTATTGATGCTGTGACCTTCATCTTTGACCTAGTAGTTTCAAAATCAATAGAGGTCTTTTTCCTCCTAAGGTTTATTATTCACCAAAGGTTAGTAAAGATACGATTTGAGGCTGAAAAGAGTGCCTGGGTCTCGTTCTTCCAAGAGGATTCTCAAACTTTTGTTCGACTAAGCTGCAACTCGGCTAAAAATGGCAAATGTTAATATGACCTTACAGGCCTGTTGAACTAACAATATAGTATTTAACATTTGAGCTGCGTCGGATACACTTGTGCAAGTGTACGTATACATGTACATGTGTAAGACTTTTATTGATTTAAAAAAATAATTGGAACACTCAAATACGAAATAAAAGATGAATGTTGGTCTTTTTTGAAGGGTTCATATTTGTTTAGGGGCCAGCTGAAGGACGCCTCCGGGTGCGGGAGTTTCTCGCTGCATTGAAGACCCATTGGTGGCCTTCGGCTGTTGTCCTGCCGTATGGTCGGGTCGTTGTCTCTTTGACACATTCCCCATTTCCATTCTCAATTTTATTTATCAACTAAATTTTCAAACAGTTACAGTCTTTGCATAGAGACTTTTTCAACCCGAAAAAGGTTAACAGATGTATTGCATAAGGTCGATTTCTATACGACACAGCTTTTCATAAATGTACTGGAAGGATTTTAATTATACCTTGAAACTCTAACTATTATGGAAAAATTGAACAAACTGCACTAAACAGGATGGAGACAAACGATGTCTTCAAAACTAACCAGTGAAAAGCTGGCACTGCCAACTAATGCTCATTAAACTGTACATTTATTGCTTAGGTAAAACATGTACTATTATCGCTAATTTTCCACCTGTATAAATGTGTTACAATTCATCATGGGCTCCGAAAACATTATGACTAAGTAAGGACTGTATGCTCCAGGGAGTTTAAAATTTCAGTTATCTAGAAACCAAAGTTAGTACCAATATTTTCTGCATAGTTCCAAATACAAATACATAAGAACTCTTTAAGGGCATACACTTAAAATATTTGGTAGAGGTTCACCTGACCCTGGCAAACTCACCAGGTCAAGAAAAATATAAAGACATATTCAAGAGATATGATCATTTAGAAAACAAAATTTTGAAAAATGTCATACTATGTATGTACAACTATCCTAAGCAACTATGACATTGGCTTTTGACAAACTGACCTAACACCAATAGGCTTCCTACCTTTTTTTCTAATTTCAACAACTTGTATAAGTTTGCTTAAATACAATCCAAAAAGTATACCTAAAATCATCATCCAGAAACAATTAGTTTTTCTTTTTGTTCATTCTATTTTAGCAGCTAGCTGTGACACTGACCTTTGACATTTTAGTCAAAAAAGATCAATCGTATTCTCTATATCTTCCTTCTATGTAAGTTTCATTATAAACCTAAAAAGGATTTTAGCTGTGACCTTGACTTTTGTCTTGAAAATCAATAGATGTCTTCCCCTTCTCTATGGCTTCCATATATACTAATTTCATTAAAACTAAAATAGAAAACTGATTTAACCATCCCGAAACCAACTTTTAAATCAATCTTTAAGAGAGGCGAAGGATACCAAAGGGACATTCAAACCCATAAGTCGAAAACAAACTGACAATGCCATGGCAAAAAACGAAAAAACGACGAAAAAAAAACAACAGTACATAAAACAGAACATAAAAAACTAAAGACTGGGCAACACGAACCCCATCAAAAATCCGGGGGTTATCTCAGGTGCCCCGGAAGGGGAAAGCAGATCCTGCTCGACATGTGCACCCGTCGTGTTGTTCATGTACAAACCCGGTGATAAGTCTAATTCGGTAGGTCACATTCAAGGAAAAGAGGCCGGGATTGGGGAAAGTGACTTTGATCATCCGACATATTGACCCCACTATCAATTATTATAGGCTTCTTGCCCATGCATATATCTTCCATCTGTATAAGTTACAATCCTATCAAGCAAGGGTTACTAGTACTCAAATTATCATCTAGAAACCGTGCGTACTGTCCACACAGACGAACTAACAAACATGTTAACCCTGCCACATTCTATATGTGCCTGTCCCAAGTCAAGAGCCTGTAGTTCACTGGTTGTCGTTGGTTCAGGTCTGTCATATTTGCTTTTCGTAAATTATTTTGTAATAAATTAGGTCGTTAGTTTTCTCGTTTGAATTGTTTCACATTTTTCATGTCGGGGCCTTTCATAGCTGACTGTAAGGTATGGGTTTTTCTCGTTGTTGAATGCCGTACGGTTGCCTATAATTGCTTTCATCCTTTTCATATGCACTTCGTGGATAGTTGTCTCATTGGAAATCATTTCTTACTATACAAATCCTTGTTTAACATACATTTGAAATGAGTATTTGCGCATTTAGATCTATTATATCATCACAATATGGTTATCTAAGGCCGTGTGGTGTAAGTGTACTCTCAATTATGTTCCCACTGATAAAAATGAATATTTACATGTAGATTAAAACAGGTTTTGACTACATGCAGTCGATAGTCGATGTAGGCCTTGTGTGGGTTAAGTGTTCATAAAACAAGATATCAAAAACGCGGTTTATTGTGAATTTTTAAGGAATTTACATAGATATAGGAAGATGTGGTATGAGTGCCAATGAGACAACTCTCCATCCAAGTAACAATTTATAAAAGTAAACCATTATAGGTCAAGGTACGGCCTTCAACACGGAGCACTGGCTCACACCGAACAGCAAGCTATAAAGTGCCCCAAAAATTACTAGTGTAAAACCATTCAAACGGGAAAACCAACGGTCTAATCTATATAAAAACGAGAAACGAGAAACACGTATGAACTACATAAACAGACGACAACCACTGTGCATCAGATTCCTGACTTAAGACAGGTGCAAACATTTGCAGCGGGATTAAACGTTTTAATGGTACCAATCCTTCTCCCTGTATTGAATAAACATGATTATAATAATACTATTTATATGACAAAAAATCAAAAAATGCTCCGTTAAAAACATGATTTTTTGCATGAAACTAATTGTAAACATGTTTACAGTGCCAAGCGTTTGGTGTAACCACGGCTTCAATAAACGTTAAAAACTATTTTTAAATGATAAATGATAACAAATTTAAGGTCAACAATATTTTTCAAATTTAACGGCTGTGTAGAAAGATTAGGTTTAAACTATACGCTTAGCAGATAACAGGTAAGTAAGCGCATATTAACCTTTATTTACTCCGAATTTACAGTGTACTACAGTTATTCTGTTCTGAACTACATTGAAATATTCCTGAGAGAAACGAGTTTGATAATTTTATCCAAAACTATTGATGTCCGTGTAATGAAAAATGTTCATGCATTTCTCGTATAAACCATAGGTACTTGGGGACAGGACAATTTTTTTTTTTACCCTCCCCCTTTTTTCAAAAATCCGTTATTTTTTCGTTTTCTATTAATTTCAATTATTTTCGCGTTTTTTTCTGTATTATAAGAACATAAATATACTACAAATAACTTGTATTTGCTATTAACTATATCAATTCCAAGTTTACAATCCACAGCGGTCACCGATATATTATATAGATTATACCACATTTTCTTATTTTCATAAGCAGAGCAAAGCGGGTCCGTTCAGATTCAGAATAATGTGTCCGTATATGGTGGCATTGCCACTAGACATTACAACCATTCTTCCTCGTCATTATTTTCCCTCTTGTAGTCTTTCATCTTACTATGGAAAACTACGATCTAGGGTGGAAGCAGGTAATTTCAATTTTAAATTATTTTTGTTCATACGGCCAGGTGACCGAACGAACCACGATCATTCACTCTTGAGGCGAGCACGTTGTGGTGCTTCGAGTCGGTCATGAGATTGTGTGTTTGGATTTTTAATCAACTGTTTAGTCATATCAGTCACGCTTTTCACAATGATATATGAAATACTTATAAACCAGACTACCGATCTTGTTTATGAAATGAAGTGAACTTTGATTTTATACGTCTGCTGCAACTCGAATTTAGTTACTAAATGAATATATTTCAAATTACAATTTATTTTGAAACGAGCAATGTACACGTTAACAACATTTATTTTGATTTATATTCGATTAAAAAATTATGGTTATGCAAAAAAAAGAAAAATATTAACAAAGCACAAAGAATTTTCAATTTGAAAAAAACCTCATTATTATATGGTATTACAGACAATAAACATGAGGGTTGCGGTGATAGGAGCAGGAGCCAGTGGATTAACTGCTATAAAGTGTTGTATAGACGAAAGACTAGAACCAGTATGCTTTGAAAGAACTAATGATATAGGTATTTATCAAAGGACTTTTGTCCTGGACATCAATTGTTTTAAATTAGTTTAAAATGTATGTGAAATGACAATGCAGACTTCTGTCTATAAAATTAAAGCGTCTACTAGTATTCTCAGCAAAAAATTGTGATATATAAGATAACTATCTAATTAACATTAATCTTACACCTATTTTACTCTTCGACAGAATATTATGAGAATTTAAAATACGGAGATGTTGTATTATTGACAATGAGACTATCCACCAGACATTAAAGGAAGTGGATGTAAGGAATTATAGGTCACCGTATAGCTGTCACCGGGGAAATATGGGTGACTTGTGAGGTTGTGTTAACAAGAGCCTGACTGAATGGCCTCTTGTTACTGAAACTGTGTGATGCACCTGATCACACAATGAACGAATGCTCTGAATAGCAATGACACTTCTGAGACTGAAACTTTGGTGAAAACTAACTCTTGAGACTCTGAACTAGCGATGAATAAATCAATAATTCAGCATGGATACTTTTATTACAGATGGACTGTGTTCAGTGTAAAGTCCTGAGTCCAAATCTTGCTTATCAAAATTATAAACAAGCATTTATACACAATTGAAATGACAAGAATAAACATAACAAATAACAATTGATTTGAGTAATATTGTTCACTGTCAAGGATTAAACTAATTTTATAACTTGAAGAATAAAGTTAATTTACTAATCTGATTGGTTTATTCCTTGAATGCCAACATCCTTTGATCTACCGACGATTTACCTGTAAAATTATGTTGGCGTTCAAGGAATAGGTGTAAGTAGTTATCACAACAAAAGTGCATGCTTATCAAAACAATCATACTAATTAAACAGATAGGTAAATTACAGGTAGCTAAATCTAATTCATGTTTGTCAAGTTGTTGAATATCATTTTTTGCTGTTACTGCTTGAACAAATATGGATTCTCTTAAAATGAAACTTTGAAAAGTGTTGCATCACAAAGTGAACATGTGCATATTGTCAGGAATTCCAGTTTGCTCAAATTCTACAATAGCCTCTTTAGTCTTTGAAGGTTTTTTTTTCAATATTTCTATAGTTGTGTGTGCTGTAATATCCTCCCATATTACTTGATGGAATTTCTTGAAACTTTGTATCACGTGTTAGATTACAATGTTTTTATTTTGTTCAGTTTGTTCAGGATATTTTTCTTGATAATAATACTACACCTTTTTTTGATTGTAATTGATTCATAAAATAATATTGTTTAGGTGTTTAAAATGTTCGCAACTGATATGAATTCTTGTTTCCCCATTATTATGGATTTTCTTGAAACTTTTAAAGTTTCCAGCTTCGAAGTTATCAAATTTACTTAATTAGTTCTGAAAATTTTTGTCGAGCATGCGACTTTTGTCGCAGAGAGCTCGACATAGGGATAGTGATGCGGCGGTGTTAGCTAACTTCTTAAAAGCTTTGTATTTTAGAAGGTGGAAGACCTGGATGCTTCATACTTTGTATATAGATGCCTTATGTTACGAATTTTCCGTTTGTCACATGTCCATTGTCCATGACCTCATTTTCATGGTTCAGTGACTACTTAAAAAAAAGTTAAGATTTTTTGTAATGTTAATTTCTCTCTTATAATGAGTAATAGGATAACTATATTTGGTATGTGCGTACCTTGCAAGGTCCTCATGCCCATCAGACAGTTTTCACTTGACGTTGACCTCATTTCATGGATCAGTGAACAAGGTTAAGTTTTGGTGGTCAAGTCTATATCTCAGATACTAGAAGCAATAGGTCTAGCATATTCGGTGTATGGAAGGACTGTAAGGTGTACATGTCCAACTGGCAGGTTTCATCTGACCTTGACCTCATTTTCATGGTTCAGTGGTTATAGTTAAGTTTTTGTGCTTTGGTCTGTTTTTTCTTATACTGTATGCAACAGGTCTACTATATTTGGTGTATGGAATGATTGTAAGGTGTACATGTCTAGCTGGCAGTCGCCTTCTGACGTTGACCTCATTTTCATGGTTCAGTGGTCAATGTTAAATTTTTGAGTTTTGGTCTTTTTTTCTAATACTATATGCAATAGGTCAACTATATTTGGTGTATGGAATGATTGCAAGCTGTACATGTCTGCCTGGCATGGTTCATCTGACCTTGACCTCATTTTCATGGTTCATTAGTCAATATTTAGTTTTCTTGGTTAAGTCTGTATCTTAGAAACTATAAGCAATAGGTCAACTATATTTAGTGTATTGAATGATTGTAAGGTGTACATGTATTTCTTGTTTGGTTTATATGACCTTGACCTCATTTTCTTGGATCATGTTAAATTTATGTGATAGTTGTAGTAAAGCTTTATATTTAGAACTATCAACATAATATCAATGATTAGTAAAGAAGGCGAGACATTTCAGCGTGTGCCCTCTTGTTAAAGTTTAATTACTTATTCAATTGAAATCTTCATTTAGTTCATATTAACTATAGTCTATATAATATAATATTTAAAATGATATGGAATTAAATAAATCTCTAATATCCTTTTTTTAATGTCTTATGTTAATAAGCATTTCCATTCTCAAAATATCTTTTTTTTAATAAAAAGTAATAAAAATGTTTTCATCTTCTTTATTTCTTTAAAATTCACAATAATTTTATCCTAATGTCTACTATTTTTTCTTATCAAAAAGTGATAAAATTTTGCAATTTTATCAAGTTCACTAATTATTTAACAGTTAAATACTTATAAAAACACCTATTGTTATTATATAAACATCCATTGAAATATTTTTGTTGGCATTCAAGGAATAGGTAACATATAAAATGTTGGCATTCGAGGAAGACACCATCTGATTATGACAATTTAGAATATAGCAAAGTACTCTCGACCAATGAAATTGTAGGATTGGATGCCTCTTAGTATATGTAAGAGAATGATAATCCCTTTCTTCATGAATAAGTACGGAGTTAGCGAGTACTTATCATGAAGTAAGGGATTATCATTCTCTTACAAACTTAGAATATTGTAAAGTACTCTCGACCAATGAAATTGTAGGATTGGATGCCTCTTAATTGTTCAGAATGAATGTGAATCATGTTCTTAGTAAGGGATTATCCTATTATTTGGGTCTATTTACAGTTCAAAACAAAGAGTTTCTATAAATGAGTTACAACTGCCCCGAAGCACATTTATCAGATTGAAAGGATTTATCACAGGGTGATTGAAACTGACTGAAATATTTCCCAAATGATAAGAAAGTCCTCACATCACTAAAACTAATCCATAAATGATATGCCGAAAAAGGAAGTCATGCATCAATTATAAACATTGCACTGACAATGAAACTAATTCTTGAATGGATCATTTGAGCCTTGAGCACTTTACAATATTCTAAGTTTGTAAGAGAATGATAATCCCTTACTTCATGATAAGTACTCGCTAACGCTCGTACTTATTCATGAAAAAAGGGATTATCATTCTCTAACATATACATAGAACACATTACGAATAAGGTAAATGGTCACTAATTAGTTAACGGATTAAAACAAGTCACTCAATGTCCAAACTGAGAATTTCAAATTAACACAACAAAACATGTCAATTAAAAGATATGGATAAGATATGGTAAAAAGAAACCAAAATATAAAATGAATAATTAAACACAATGAATTTAAGTCCAAAAATGTCAGAACTGTAAATTTTTAGTATAAGTCCAAAATAATATGAGAAGCAACTTTTAGCTTGGTTACATAGCCTTCAACAATATACATTTGTGCTTCCATACATCCTTCTGCGCGCATTTGTATAGCATTACATATTTGTGGTATGTAATTCTATTTTCAACTGCATCCACCTAAGTTCGTTTAACATAGGAATGACGGGGATAAATGATCTGCATATAAAATAAATCTTTCTCTTCTTTTTATATTTTTAAATGGCGCAAGTTCCATACCAGGAAAGCCACCCCCCGAAACATCAAACAAAACACACATTTTAAAAGTTTTAGTGTTCTTGTTGTACCTTCATGTTTACATTATCCCCAACAATACAGCAGTAGTCAATCAGGGGGAAATATACCCCTTATTGTATGTTTTTTAGCAATGTCTTTTCTTATGAAGGAAGGTAAATTCTGGATAATGTATAATATCACAAACCTTATAAATTTGATTTCGCAGACTAAATGTTCTGTCAATTTTAATACCTACTAATTTATTCTATGTTTCATATGAATTTTATTATGTTTCTAAATGTATTTGTTAATTTGTTTGATAAGTCTGGATTGATAATAAGTTGGTTGATATAGCCGTTAGTTTTAATGGACTTCCCCCTTATTGAATTTACCTTGGAGTTCGTTAATTTTGTTATTACATTTTTTTCGTGCAACCAAACGCTATCTTTTTTTTTGTATTGATGAACATGTTACTCCCGAACTAATCTTCAAATCTATATAAATCTTCTTGCTCATCATCATTTATATTGCAGTATTTTTTCTCGTGGTTTAAATATAGTAATGTCAAACAGTTCTGTTTCCAATTTGTAATGCTTAGGGAAACGTAATTTATAAATAGTACACATAACAGATCTAGAGAACCAGTTATAGATCAAATGAATGATTAAGTTTTACAGACTGATGTTTAAAACAAACATATCAAATGCTTACTTGATGCGTTTTGTTACTTGTGCATCACTCGATCCATAAATTTCAAGCTTTACACAATGAATTTGCATAGCTATTAGATTATGGTTTGAAATAAAATCACAAACATACTGTAACCCAACCGAAAGTCGCAAAAATAAATCGCTCGCGAAAATTAGTTGGTTTACAATATAAGAAATATCCTTGATGTATCGATGTTCTATCATTTATTTAAGGAATGACTGTAATATTTTTTCTGTCTATGAAGAAATAACATCAAAAATGTGGTGCACACTGAATAAACCGCGTAGCGGGTTATTTTAAAGTGTGCACCACATTTTTTATATTATTTCGAATAGACAGAAAAAATATTACAGTCATTTCTTATAATTTAATTCTAAATTCCATTTTAAACCGGAGTAAACCATGAAAAAACGTTGATGACGTCACGGTCACATGACAAAATTATGTCTATGAGCTGATAAACAAAACAACGTCAGCCAATCAGAAGACGCGTTACATCCAAAATTAAATTATTGTGCATTAATCACAATAATGATAGTTACCCCCATTGCCAAAAGTAGGAAAATAAGCATAATTCTTTGGAAGCATTAATTGACCTTAAATTTTAGTAATAAGTCCTTTACAAAATTATAGTTCTTTTTTATGAAGTCAGAGACATATAATTTATTTTATGTCTCTGGTGAAGTTGAAATCAACCCTTCGAAAATTTTACTGACGCCATCACTAGTTGATTGACCGTTATGGAATATCTGTTTCACAGATAATGACAGATATGTAATTCCAATGTTATAACCACAATCCCATCCACTTTTCCTCGAATGATACCGACCGAATTAGACTTATCTCCGGGTTTGAACTTACATTAGCAACACGACGGGTGCCACAGGTTGAGCAGGATCTGTGCTTCCATACATACATTTTCTATGTTGTGTTTTGTGCGCCGTTGTTTGTCTTTTCGTCGTTTTTTATTTTAGCTATATTTATATATTCATTAATTCCTAGTATGTAATTATCATTACTTTTTTTTTCTATATGTTTTGCTTATCTTTGTCAGTTCTCATTTCCTTATGCTTTCATTATTTCAAACAGGCGGGCTATGGAGGTATTCAGATGAGGTCGTAGAGGGTCAGTCATGCGTAATGAAATCAACTGTTATCAACACTAGTAAAGAGATAATGACTTATAGTGATTTCCCAATACCATCAGAGTATCCAATGTATATGCATAATACTTATGTGCAGAAGTATTTCAATCTGTATGCTGACAGGTTTCACCTACGAAAGTGTATACGGTTTGAAACGGAGGTGATCTATTTGGAGTAGTATATATAGTATATAGTATATTAATTATTTAAATTTTTTTACGTAAGGACACTCAAGAAAGGTTCTAAAGTGTATGTAAAATAACATATTATAAGTGGAGGATGATCGAGTCAAAATGCTCCGTTCTGTGTTAATAAGAATCGGGCATTAAGATGTTAAATATATTCGAATATGTTACCATTACCCATAGTTAATTTAAATTAAGTCTTTACTTAATTTTGTTTATCCTAAGTCTTTAATAGTATTTAAAATACATATTTCCAAACTATATAGGTGTCCTAAAAAGATTTGATTATCTACATGGGTGTGATCTATGGTGCTCTGGAAGGGTAATACTAAGCAGAATCTGCTCTACTAGTGGCACTCGCCGTGTTACTAATACAATTACGTTGATAAGTAAAAGAAAAAGTCATTAGAGATCCCGCAATAGCAGATTTGTATAATTATCTTATCTAATCTAAAGACATCACAAAATTCGTTAACCGTCGTTCATGCTAATTTTCAAACTCTTAAGAATTGACTAATATGAAATTATGAAATTGAAAGACGTTTTTTAGGACAAAGGATAGACAAGACTTTTACCGTCCGAATTATAAAAAAAATATTAAATGACACAAAGTTCAACACTAAAAATTTGCAAGAGCAACACAAACCGTTTTTAATTCTCATTATATTTTGCATAAGGTTGACATATGCACAGCGACTAAATGTAAATAACGGATGAGACTTTTGCATACGATAATGAGAATTTTCTAAAAGAAATTCCTTTATCTCCAGACACTATGTTATTACCCTGTTGTACATATATTATATAATTAACTCTACTGTAGAGCAGGAAATGTCTTTCCTTCCGATGTGCCTGAGTTGGTCCCCGGATTTTGGTGGGGTTCCTGTTGCTTAATGTTTAGTTTTTTGTCTAGTGTTTGTGGACTGTTATATTTTGTTTGTTTCCGTTTGTTTTTCTTCTTTTTGGCATGGTGTAATCGGTAATTCTTCAACTTTCGACTTTGGTATGTTCTCCCCTTTTATAAACTTAACCTGTCTTTTTCTTTAACCGGAAAATTATGCATCGATGAACATCTGAAGTGCACGTGTATCTATTTATCGATCAGTTATTCAGCCATGTCATTCATAAACATTCTAAGGCATTTGAAAGTTAATTTGATGAGTAACTTATCACAAATGCATTAAACTACATGATCGGTATTTATTTATTAAAATTTATATGGAAAAATATTACGGTGTTTTTTGTCTATAGGTCTTGAGTGTGAGCAAGCATGCAGATTTCAAACAATCCGGTCAGTGGGTAATCAAAATAAAAGACAAGAAAAATGATAAAGTAGAAGAAGACATCTTTGATGCAGTCATTGTCTGCAGTGGTCACCATGCGGAAAAGAATGTACCTGATTTTCCAGGACTATCAGACTTCAAAGGAAAAATTGTTCACAGTCACGACTACAGACACCAAGCTGGGTTTGAAAATAAAAGAATAGTAGTGATTGGAATTGGCAATTCAGGAGGCGACATGGCGGTAGAACTTAGTCGGGTTGCTTCACAGGTAAAATTTGTGTAGGGCCACCCTTGAAAAATTCTTTTTGTTTGATGTTGCCTACCCATGTCTTGTAGGATTTGGTAGGCAGGGAAGTATGGATTTTATTTTTATTTTTTTTGGCCAACAGCACAAGTTAAATGTTTTGAGGATGTATTCTTCTGACGTTTCAGTCTCGTTGAAATCTCGTTCTGGAATTATTTCCAGAAAATGTGATACAAGTAGAAAATATCAATGAATTTTAAAAATGTTATAATTAAACTTAACTCTGTGAAAGAATTGTGTTTTTACAATAAGTAGTTTTTGAGTAATAAATTTTTCAAATTTTATTACCAATCAAGTCAGTCTTTTTAGCCAAACTTTTGAGAAAATGGATGAGGGGTACACGAAATGATTTTACCAGAAACATGTACATCCCATATCACTTTTTTTCTTTTCAAATTTCTTAGATATGTATTTTTTCAATCATTTAGAACAAAGAAGTTGAAATAATATGCATTTTGTTCTTAAAATAGAGAAAAATCACAAAGGAGTAGTTTCAGTAAGACCCCTTTTTGGCCCCAAAAAAAAGCAGTTTTACAAAATTGTTAAAATGTAAACTTTTAGCTATTAATTGGAAAGTAGAATACTTCTGTTACATAAATATGGGCTGTTTTTGACAATACAATGCACATGTATCGGGTACTAGCATCATTCAGCCTTGCGAAATTACTGAAATCTTCACAATTTTAGCATTTTGAGTTAATTTTTAGACGGTTTTCGTCTTAAATGGATGTGGCCGCATTTGTGTTCATTCTTAATATTTAAATGTAAGTTGTATTTGATGATAATACATAACATATATAAAGGTTGAAGATGAACACGGATGCGGCCACTTTCATTTTTGACAAAAAACATCTAAAAAGTGACATATTTTGGCATATTTGATTGATTTTTAATATTTAAGCTTGAATATGAGCGTTTTTAATGACTAAATCAGTTCAAATCTTTCACATAAATTAATTGAATCTACTAAAGTTGACACTTAAGTGTTTAAAAAGTGTCCACAATCTTTCATCAGATGAACCTGAAATTTGGGGCCAAAATCGGCCCTTACCGTACCTACTTTTTTTCATACCATAATTGTGGAACTGTGATTTTTTTTCACGATAATAGCCCAAAAATGGGTAAAAATCGATGAAAAATGGGAAAATCATCAAAATTGGGTACTTTCAAAGGGCCGTAGCAAAAAAAAAAAAAAGCATCATCATATGATTTTTCTTCACCAATTATTTTTTTACAGTCATATAAACCAAAAAATCAGGTTAAGAAAAAAAGTTTAATTCTAAAAAAAATTGGCTCCTCAGAGGTGTACATCCTTAAATAAGAAAAGCAGGGAAAAAAATTTAAAAAAAATTTGAAACGATTTGTGTCATAAAATTTTTGGGGTAGGCGGCTTTTTAGATGAGAATTAAAGTAGTCAACATCAAACAATTTGAATTTTATTTTTGGCCTCGAATTATCAAGTGAACTATGTTAAAGTTTGTCATCAAAGTCTTTTCAGTCTATGCATGCCTTTTAAATAACAATTGTGTCCTTCTTTATCCAAACCTTCTCATGTCTGCTAAAAAATGAATGTTAACATATTCATATTTAACGATTTCAATATATTTATAAAGAGAAATGATTACATTAAACAAAATAGATGAAATAAGAGATTTTAACTTAATGCTTTTTAGGTGTCAGACCACCAGTTCAAAATCCCTATCTTTTCAACCAAATTTTGCAATTTTCACAGCTTTCTTAAAAATTTACCTTAAGTTTAACTTCATAGAAACCGGGTATATTCTGAATTGTACATGTATCACCTTTCTACATGCCAATTTTCAACCCATGTTTAAAGTCTTATAAGAAAGAACTGCCTTTCTGAAGACAAGTACTCCTAAAAATAACCCCTGGTTTTCTGGAAATATTAAATTAGTATACTATGGAGCGCATTAATCCTCAATTTTTAATGCAAACTCATAGACAAATAAATTTTGGCTCAAAATGGTCTAAATATATTTCTCTTTCGCCAAAAGTTTCATTTCTGCAAATTTGTTGGTTATTTTAAGTAAACAATCAAAAGCACTATTTTGTGTCAGAGTAGGGCTACTTTTACTTGGAGGGAGTGAATTGGTGGTCTGACACCTTTACTGACGCGAATAATTTCGGTTTGTGACCCATTTTTAAAGGACGCTTAACTATGGTAACGGCATGCATGCCGTCACAAAACTTTACTCTGATTGGACGAAATTACGGAATTGAACAAAAACCAACATAAAAAGAAATACACTACAATAAAAGGAAAACATTACGGACATAAAATCAAACTTAAAAAATGAAATTATCCAGATAAATAAAAATCAATTTAGGTAAAGAAGTTGTCAATATCACCACTGTCAAATTGATTGGATTTTGAAAGCTTGGCCTTTAATAGCTGCGGAACCGTAGCCTTTAATACATGAGTAGGTAAATATCACTGACAGGTTAATTAGATCTACCAGGTCAATTATAAGCTTTTAATAGCTCAAGTGCTATAAATACATCTTATCGACTTAGTACAGTCTGAAACTTCCAAGGCGTAAAAACAAAATAGTATACTGGAAATAAAGAATTTAAAAATACATATATATATATCGCAAATCTAATTACTTGTCATAAGCTGTATCATATACACTACAAACCAGTAAAAGTCTGAAATGGCCTATATCTGTACTCGACTGTACTGGCCTATATCTGTACTCGACTGTACTGGCCTATATCTGTACTCGACTGTACTGGCCTATATCTGTACTCGACTGTACTGGCCTATATCTGTACTCGACTGTACTGGCCTATATCTGTACTCGACTGTACTGGCCTATATCTGTACTCGACTGTACTGGCCTATATCTGTACTCGACTGTACTGGCCTATATCTGTACTCGACTGTACTGGCCTATATCTGTACTCGACTGTACTGGCCTATATCTGTACTCGACTGTACTGGCCTATATCTGTACTCGACTGTACTGGCCTATATCTGTACTCGACTGTACTGGCCTATATCTGTACTCGACTGTACTGGCCTATATCTGTACTCGACTGTACTGGCCTATATCTGTACTCGACTGTACTGGCCTATATCTGTACTCGACTGTACTGGCCTATATCTGTACTCGACTGTACTGGCCTATATCTGTACTCGACTGTACTGGCCTATATCTGTACTCGACTGTACTGGCCTATATCTGTACTCGACTGTACTGGCCTATATCTGTACTCGACTGTACTGGCCTATATCTGTACTCGACTGTACTGATTTTTACTCGACCAGTCTGAATTGGTCTGAAATTTACTTGATAATACTCGACTGTGGTCTGAACCATACTTAACAGCCTGAACTTGTACTCGACCAGTACTTAACCATTTTATGCGCGTCTGAACCATGCTCGACCTAGTCTGAACCATGCTCGACCTAGTCTGAACCATACTCGACCTAGGCTGAACCATACTCGACCTAGTCTGAACCATACTCGACCCAGTCTGAACCAACCTAGACCTATTTTTTGTATCTATCTATTGTATTTCATCAATTTAGGAACTGTTATTAACAACAGCTATTTCCCCTGGCTATAAATTTGAACAACAATTTGAAATTAAAAATGTATTCAATATAGCATTGAAACCAAAATTTCACAATAAACATAATATAACTTCATCACCATATTCATCAACACTTATATACATTCATATATATCACCTTTAAAATGAAAATAAAACAAGCTGATCAAATAATCTCAAAACTGAATTGTGACTAATATTTTCAATGTTATTCAAAATTTTTTGAATGTTTCAGATATATTTTATGGTTACTGGACAATTTTCACCATTGAGCCTGGTATAGATTTATGGTGTCAGTTGAGTTTGATAATAATGCAGTGAACATTTTTTTTGTTAAAATATATATAAAATAGCATATAAAGCAACTTAATAAATTTAAAAAATGACACCTTTGTTTTGTTAAACCAAGAATTTAATATAATCATGATAATAGAACTTCCATAGTAATCCTGTGATAAACTTTTAAAAAAGGAAATGTGTTCCAAAGTTACAGTAAAAATTTATTTCAATTAAATTTAAATAATTTTTGTCAAAATTAAAGACATGGCATACAAGAAGCACTTTAATAAGGTTTAATCACCTCAGTACATGTGTGTTTTACAGGTAAAAAGAAAGCCCTATTTTTTCTTAAACTCGTGTATTACTTATCTAGTGAATTCAAAAGGCCTTGCGATTTAAGTTTCACAGGATGTTGCAATTTTGAATGAATGTTATTTAGAATTTAATTAATACTCTCTGACCAGGTGTGATCTTTTTCATGAGTTTGCCCCAAGCAGGAGGGCAGGAGGTATTACTTTATACTTCACCACTAATCAGAAGAACAATTTTATTAATTTCTTTAATTTTTATCCCTTTTTGATATATATTGTATATAGTATATATATCCCAAATTATAATAATAGATATATTTCTAAAATAAGGTTAAACAATTTCAGTGATTTTGTTGGCTGTTGTTACCTCATTAAAAAGATAATTATATAACTATTGTACATTTTTTGTACGTAACCATGAAACCTATGTAGTTTTTATTTAGGAATTTAGAAAAAAATAATAAAAAAAAAAAACACATGCCAAACTAGAAGCACCTTAATAAGGTTTAATTACCCTGAGTATAGGTGTGGTTTTTAGGTAAAAGAAAATCTTTTTTTAACAAAACTCTAAAACTTTGAAATTAATATAATTAAATTCGAATGTAGGACAGAAAGTCACAGGACAAAAAGCCACGGACAAAAAGTCACAGGACAAAAAGCCACGGACAAAAAGTCACGGACGAAAAGTCACAGGACAAAAAGTCGCAATTCAGTTTTGAGATTATCTTTCTCTGAACAAGAAAACACTAATTTTAAAAATAAATTTTGATTTTTTTCTTGAACTATAATCAGAGA